GTCCCTTGCTATATCCCATCCAGCTATCTTGACGTCATCTGCAAACAGAAAACACGGATTGTGGAGATTCTGTGCTAGGTCATTAATGTCGAGCAGGAACAGCAGTGATCCAAGTACGGATCCTTGGGGTACACCGCTTGTGACCACTTCCTCCTCGGATGTGAAGCTCCTACTTTGACACTAAACGCCCATTATCCAGCTCCTGACTTGCCCACCCATTCCCAATAATTGCATTTTATGATTTAACAGATGGTGGCTGACCAATTTGAATGCTTTCTGGAAGTCCGGATAGCATACCCCACTGGTAGGCCCTCAACTATTCTCCGTAACACCTCGTCTATAAATAAAAAGAGATTTGTCAGGCAATATATCTTTTCAACAAATGCCTACTGAGCTGGCATCAATAGCTCGCTATTGAACATGTAGTGGCATATTTGTTTTCTAACTAGACGCTCCTAACACTGACCAATTACTGACGTCAAACTTACTGGTCTGTAATTCTCGGCTTTTTGCCGGGATCCAGACATGTCTAATGCCACTACTGTGGCTTTACGCCATCGTTCGGGACAATTACCAGGCTAAGCGACTCTAAATAACTCCAAGATTGTTCCCACTGAGACGTTATCCAGCAATTGTACAATTGCTGGGTGAATTCCGTCAGGTCCCGCCGCCTTGAACCTATTAAGCCCGGTTCACTCCCGCTGCACATCCTGAATTTCCGAAGTGATAGGAGGCATGGTGCTGTAACCTTTGATTGATGGAAGGTTATCTGTCACCCTGGGCTCCTGTACGTGCTTTTGAAGAACTGTAACAGGATACGTGCTTTATCGCTCCCATTCAATGCTAATTCTCCGGTCGACGATTCTAGGGTACCAACTGTTTCTCGAGTGTTTCATTGAGATTGGACATATCTGTAAAAACACTTAGGATTTCGCTTGATGATTTGCTCCAACTTTCTCTCAAATTGGTATGTAGCGTCCATTTGCACTTTTTGAGCATATTTGCGCGCTTGTTTGTAACTACTTCAAGACTAACGGGTGCCATACAGTTTATAGACTGCCCACCGTCTTCTATGAACGGTTATAGCCCTATCTTTGCTTGCCTTCCACAAAAGAGGACGTTTTTCCTTCTTTTAACGGAACCAGAGGCGCGAATCTGTCTGTCTGTCTGCTTTCTAGTGTCAGTCACAGGACTATCTGATCACTTTTCCCCAGCGGCTCCTCCTGGATTATTGTCCTTCTGTCCATAGGGGTTCTCGTGATCCCTAGATCCAGTATGGACGGCCTGTCATTTGCTCGAAACCGGGTGGCTTNTCCTGGGTTCTTGTCCTTATGTCTGTAGGGGTTCTCGTGATCACTAGATCCAGTATGGACGGCCTGTCATTTGCTCGAAACCGGGTGGCTTGTCGCATGTGTTGTGAAAATGCGTGCTGATGTAGCCAGTCTTGAAGCGGTCAACCTCCCGTACCTACCGGTGCCCTGTCTCTACTCCAGTCGATCTCTGGCATATTGAAGTCTCCTACTAACAACATCATTCTGGATGTGGCAAGGAATAATTACAGCTGGGCAATCAATTCCTGATCTGTTGCATTCACCTACGGAGCCCGGCAGA